TCCGGCCAACCCACTGCTGGATGGATGTTAATAATCGCCGACTGCAATCAACATTGCTGCCGTGAATGGGGATCCATCGGTGGACTGGGTTTATCCCTCTGCGGATTCGCCATTCGCATCGCTCCCTTCTTCATTAATTCCTACAAATTAATTGTTTCTCGTGCATTTTTTGATGCTCGCGCCGAAGGGCCATTCATTTGCGGAGGAGCTCACTGGTCAAATTGAAAATCGTGCAGCTTCATCGCATCCCACTAATGACAAATAATAATTGCTGGCAATTTCTTTAATTCCACTTGAGTATAATTACTCGGACTGCCAGCAACAACAACAACAACAAGAACAACAACTGTAAGAGCAGACTGCCCGGCATTATTAATAAATTGCTATTGGTTTCTCAGGCTTCTGTCTGTTGAGTTGGAGCAAAAAGCTTAGTGGTTGCATTCCTGTGCTATTTCAGTTGGCTTTAATTCACCCACAGTTTTAAGTCGATTTGTTATGATCAAACAAAGGGTTGTTGCATCCACAAGCCACTGTTTATTATTAGACCTTTTTCAATTTATGGAGAAAGCTCCTTAAAAACATCTGTACATATATAAGATATATATAGATATGGACATGTGTGTTTGGAGGAACCCATACCGACTTATTTTCCAATTCGCTTGTGTGGCGTATTTTTATACGTTTGATACAATGAGCGCAATGAATGGTTGAATGAATGCTTGCCGACTTGAATGGATGAGCAAGCGTACAAATTAAATTATGCCATGACATACACTCGCTCCCTCTCTCTCACTCCCCGAATAGCGCCCTCTCGCTCTTTCCCACCAGGCAAGTGTTTGGCTGAGCTCAAGCTAATTGAATTTCTCACTGTCGCTTGCAATTTTCATTATTATTAAATTTTCAACTGTCTCTCTGTGTACATTGTGCGTAAGTGTGTGTAAGGGTGTGTGTGTGTGTGCGAGTTGCGTTTCGAGTGTGTTTATATTTAGTATCCGTAGTACAAAGTTTTTGCTTATTCAGGCGGAAATGAGATAATGAATGGGCCAGTTCGGCCAGTTCAGTTCAGTCTGGCGAATTTGATTCAGCTTTATTCAACTGACCGACTGACACCGAGAGCCATAAACGGAAAGTGCGTTTGCCCAGAAGCAGCGATTGCTTTTGTTTCGCTTCTTTTTTTGCTGGCTTGTTTGGCTTAATAGAAACAAATTGGAGGCGGCACAACTTAATTAAATGAATGTAAGCGACGCACAGTGGTCGGGCTTGTATGGAACCGCGGCCATAAATACTTCTAGATGTGCTATCGCTATGAAACTTTCACAAAAAATCTATAAAAATATTATAAATATATTATAAAAAAATTGACCGGATCATACCACTATATCCTATAGCTTCCATAGGAACGATTGGATCAGTGGTGGCGCTTTGATGAGAGAGCAGTCCTAAAATCACTTCTAATGGGCAGATCAGGCTAATATTTATACTGGAAGTTATTTACAAGCATAGAACTATAATAAAAAAAAATTGGAGCGATTGCTTAACTCCACTCCCACGCCAACCTTCTCAAAAAAGTTATGATAACAAAAAAATAGTTTGTGGCGGAAAAAAATCGATTTTTTTTTGGCTTATTGTATAGATATTTGTTCCGAAAATGTTCTCAAAAAATTTCAGATCCAAATTTGAAAAACTACAAGAGTTACAGGCCCTTACATGGAGCACATGTCGAACACCGGCCATTGCACAGTATTTGGGCTTGTATTGAGCAGCGGCCATAAGTACTTCTAGTTCAGTTATTGTAACGAAATTTACACCAAAATTCTAAAAAAATATTTTAAATGTATAGTAAAAAAAATTGGCCATATCGTACGTCTATATCATATAGCTGCTATAGGAATGATAGGAAAGAAATAAGTATATAGTATGAAAAACGTTTTTGTTTTTCAAGAAATTTAAACCAAACTTACAGATTGTATGCCTGAACCAGTTTTAGTGAATTTCAATGAAATAAATAAATAAAAATATTTCAAAAAAACATTACAAACACGAGCGACGAGGACAAAACAAAAGCACAATAAGGAAAAACTTTCCCTTTGCAAACGCTAGATGGCATCAGTATTTTCCCGATTATATAAACATCTGCAAATTTCTGCAGCTGATTTTAGGCTTATAAAACCCTAAAAGTCAGACGAACACATTAACATACATACTATTTGTGGGATTTCATGGCATCACAACTAAAACTTTAACTAAACATGAAAAAGATGTTCACAAAATAGTCGAAAAAGGGTTAATCGATCTAAAATACACAAATAATATGTAATTAGTCAGATAAATTTCATAAAACCAATTTTTTAAAGTTAATACCTTTAACTTTAAAATGCATTTTAAATAATTAAATTTGGTGAATTTTTGCGAACGTCCGACCATTTTGAACTTCACTTTTGTTTTCACGAAACTCACTAAAACGCAGCTGCAGGAGCAAAATTGAAGACGTGTTCACACTTTGCATTATATTTTAAGAATGTTCCGTTAGATTTCCGGAAAAAACTAGCTTGCAATGACAAAATATGGATAATTTAGAGACAAATTCTTAACATTTTGACTAATTATTTTAAAGTCGATTTTTCGATTTATGGCCTATGGGCGCAACCACTGTGCGACGGCGGGGCAACTACAGCCGAAAAGTACAGTTGACAGGGGGAACCAACTTGAAATAATTAAAAACCACAAGTGCTGGCTAAAAAGAGCCCGACCGGGCCAAGTCAACTCTTGGGAGCAGCCAGCCAGTCAGCCACATGCGAAAACCACACGAACCGCCGAAAGGAGGCGGCAGGAAGCGAGAGATACGATACACAAAGTGGCAAGGAGGCAAGGAGGCAATGAGGCAAGCAGGCAGAAAAGCCAGAAGAGCAAGAAGAGGCAGATCCCGAGGTGGATTACAAAAGGGGTTAATCAACAAAAGGGAGGGAAACTGTCGTGTTTATTTATGACAAGATGCTTCATCATAATCAGCCCCTGACACTTGTAGAGGCCGCCACAAAAAAGGGCAACCCACACATGCTGCATGCTACAAGCTGCTTGCTGCATGCTGCATGCAGCACATATTGCACGTGCAACGTGCAACACCTCGACGAAGAGGAAAGGCAACTGAAACGGCAACGGCAGAGTGAAGTGGCTTAATTGAAGTGATGCTCAGCAGGAGACAAAGCCCCCAGCCAACACCGAATTAATTAAGAAAGTAACCAAAGGAAAGGAAAGGCAGCAGGATGAGCAGGATGAGCATGAGAAGCAGGAGCAGGAGCAGAAGCAACATCTGCCGGCATCTTGGCTTCGGAATTAAGCAGCTCTCTAGTTCTCTAGCTCAACAGCTATCCAGCTATCTGGCCAAACTCGTTTCGGGCCAGCTCTCTTCGGCCTGAGACTCATCAGCATAACAATAAAGTTCTGTGAAATACGTTTATGGGCGCCCTGTCCCCCCAGCACACTCCAAACCCTTTTTAAATGGCTCTTTACATAATTCTGGTCAAGTGGGAAAACGTGGCAGTGGCAGCAGCAAGCAGCAGTTGAGTTCTTTTGGCTAGTTTTGCAACAGTTTCTCGATTGAAATTCGGAATGTTCGGACAGATCGGTGCGAGATATGCCACCACTCGAGGCACTTTAAACCGAAACTCTGGCAAATTGAATTTTTATGCCCAAAAGAGTCTCGAGTACGAGAACAAGCAAGTAATCAATTCGGAGAGGGAAGACATCAGCGCCAATATTGGAACATAAAGAACACAAATAAATCACATCGTTGCCTGGAATTACTGTTATGAAGCGAGCAGTCATAAAGACAAGTATACTTTTTTTCTTTTTTATTTTTTTTTTTTTTTTGGTTGGTTGTTCAGGAGGCAGGGAGGTGGAAAGCATTGGTTCGGTGGAACATTTTCGCGCCTTTATGGCTGAATAAATTTTTATTCATATAACTCACTCATACACACACGCACACGCAGTTCCAATAAATTGAGGAAAATCAAGTTCTCTCCTCTCTCTCACTTACGGAAAAACGATACGTAAAAGAAGGCACACGCATGGCATGGGCATCGGGAAAATGCTGAGCGGTAGCCAAAAAAAGAAGAAAAAAAGTGAATGCCAAAGAAAAATCATCATCAAAATCACTGAACATCAACGGGGGAGAAATGCCGGTTGACAGCGGGGCCGCTATGCAAATGGTGCTAATTTTTCAAAGGAACTGCTCGCAATCCTTAAAGGAACTGGATTTTCCTTTCGTCTACGCTCCTCCTCGCACGAAACTAATATGCGTAAAATTAGAGGAGTGCCGAAGTTGCAGCTGGAGGAGCAGAAGCTAATTTCCGAGCGAGTTCCGAAATTTCGTTTGTCGCGCACTTGGCTGCCATAACTTATGTGGAGCCTCAAAGGATTATAGTCTAATCCAAACCAGCTTAATCTGCTAGTGCACTATGAAAAATATAAGCCTTAAGCCTCTTGAAAAATAAATACTTAAGGAAAAAAGGTTTTACTATTCTCTAGCTGCTTTAAAAAGTTTCTTAGATCAAAAATTAGTTTACTGTCAGGCTTTACAAATATTAAAATGTAAATAATATTTTTTCAAAATTTTTTTTTCATTTTAAAGCATTGTAATTTATTGAGCTCTTTATTTAACTTTATTTTTTGCGAGTGCATCGCCTCCCACTGCGCAGTGCGACATGTGGAAGAGCTTAATCAACCCTCGCATGGCCCTTTTGTAGCTCTGTCAACAGGCAAAAGCGATTCAAAAGAAAAATGCGAGCAGCAAGAGACAAAGGACCGGGCCGAAAAGTAAAAGGAAAGGCAAAGGAACCAGGATACGAGAGGCCCAGCCAGGAAAATGAAAAAGACCAAAAACATGCCTTTTGACAGCTGCCGAAACTTTTGCATGACATTTATCACTGTCGCATAACAAATGAGCGACAGCAGCAGCAGCAGCAGCAGCAACAGCAACGGCGGCGGCAGCAACAAACATCGAAGAGTGATAAACCCCGGCATTGGCGGCAAAGTTTTCCTCTTCGAAGGGGGCAATCCCACCTACACAGCAGAAACACACGCACACACACACACAGAAAGCAAAGGAAACCAAAAGAAAGAATCAGGCTCAGCCTCCGAACACTCGAGCATAAACTTAAAGTTATCCAGAGATCCAGCGACACAAACAGAACCTGAATCAGCCAAGTGGGATGGGAATGGGAATGGGGATATGGGAGTCGAGGATGAGAATGAGGCTGCGGCTGCGACAGTAATCCCCCTCGATCTCCACCGCACCCTCGATGATATCCCGATATATATATAGTATACTCCTTATCCCTTTGCGCCCCCCACATGACACATGAGTTGTCAATGCAATATAATAAATACGATTTTTGACTTTGTTAAAGCGCTGCCAAGGCGTGTCGTTGTCCCAGATGTCTCCCCTCAAAACCCCCTCCCCCTTATCCCCCCCTTTATCCTTATCAGGAGGAGAAGCCCCGAGAAGTGTGTGTGGGCGGGGGAAATGCGCATTAGGCCGCAGGCGGGACTCTCGGTTTGCGTCTGGTCCTGGCCGCATACAATAAAGGATAATATGCATAAAATGCTCAAGTTTATACGCACCAGTTAAAATGTCATTTCGAGCTTATGCGTGAGAGCTTGTGTAGATTTGGGAGGGGAAAAGCAGAGGGAATTGGGAGAAATTGAAAGAAAAAAACGATAAACGATATTAAGAGGGATGTGAGTGTAATGCGAGTATGGCGAATAGGGTATATCCTTGGCCACGTTATTCGAGATCAAAAATGACTGGCAAACATGTTCATAAACCAAATGACTACAACACTTTGGCTTTGCACTTAATGCTGGAGTTTTTTCAGACTTGTTTTAGGTTATACACTTGAAATCATAGAACTGAAAATTTATTTAGTTGATATTTACTACCAATCATAGTAATAAAAGTGCAGTTTTTAGCTTAGATCACCAAGTAATAAATAAAAGTTTAGAAAGTGCAGTTAACATTTTTTCATTCAATTCAACTTTTATAGCTGGTCATATAAATTTGTAGTTAAGCCATTTTCAGAGCAACCTGCAACTAGTAATCTATACGAAATGCTAGCTATCGATTTCGACTTCCAACTAAGTCACTCCTGTGATTAGTTAATATACCCTTCTTGGAGAGGAAAAGAACCCAGCAAAGGAAACCACAAGAAGAGCCAGATGAGCATGTGACAGGCAAACAATGTTGCCTTTATTGATGTGCGTCTGAGACAGAGAGTGAGATGCGGCATGGGGCATAATGTGGTTGCCGAGACATGCAATATAAAATGGATTACCGAAGGAGGGGCGAGAATGCGACCGGGACTTAATCTAGTCCCGTCCATCATACTGGTGTATCTCTGCCCGATTTCCTGCAGCAATTTCCGTTTAATTATCAGCTGGCCGGTCAACAATAATCTGGCCAAGAGAGAGAGAGAGAGAGTGCCAGGTAAATGGTAACTCCGCATTCCATAACCAAAGCCAAGCAGTTGACCCAAGTTGGCTTCAACTTAAAGCAGACACCGGCGAACGGCAAACGCCGAACGACAAACGACAGACGGCAGAGAGAACTCTTTGACCAAGTTTGTGGGTTCGCCGATGGTGGCAAGCGAAACGACCCCATTAGGTGATAGACAAAATCGTAATCCCAAAGCAAATCAGTTGCCCTGCCCCGAGTTGTGGCAGCCAATGCAAAGAGCTCGAGCCGAAGAGCCGGCGAGCTGACAGCCAAGTTGCAGCCAGAGCCATAAAAAGCAGCACACAGACAGCAGATAGCCAGAAATAGAGTTGGCGGAAGGTGGGGAGTGCGGGGAGCGGAGGTTGGAGAACGGAGATTGGAGGTTGGAGGATGAAGCATGGAGGATGGTCAACCGGCGACTTTCCGCCACACGTGCTGGAAAAGCAGGAAAGCATAGAAGCAGGAAGGCATCAGAAAGCAGCAGGAAAGACCTCTGCAACTGTCGAATGCAAAACGGCAAGGGACCAACTGCAGTTGGCCAAAACAAAAAAAAAAAAAACAACAAAAACGAGAAGGAGGAGCTCCACCTACAGACCGCCAATGTCATAAGTACGAAATGGGAAAAAAGCACATGGCAAAGCGCGCTCTGAAATTGGCAAAACGTCAACACAGTTCCGCTCGCTCGCGATACTATTTCTTTTTTTTTCTACTTTGGTTTCGCCATATTTATGGAGCGGAGGAAGGCCGACCATATTTGGCATCATTAAGCTGCTTTGAGTCGGGCCTTTGAGGGCGTAAAATGAGCAGTCTTGCGATTGGAGATCGTTGACCCCAGACGAGATGCAATTGCCAACCAATGACCTTGATGGCCCCCTATGAAAGCAGAGATAGAGATACGGATACTGATACAGATACTGATACAAATGGGGAGATTTGAGTCTTAAGAGTGAGCGCAGTCTGATGGTGACTTGTGTTTTACACAAATTGACATCTGAAATGGCAGATTCATTTGGCGTGCCGGAGTAATGCGGAAGTGCGTGTCTCTGGCTCAACAGGCAATCCGCATCCGTATCTGTATTTGTATTTGTATCTGTATCTGTATCTGCATTCGAGTCTGGATCTGAATCTGCTTTGTCCATTTGCGGACGTTTCGCTTTTGCTCATCAATGCGCAATTATTTATTTATACAACATGTCTAACAGCCGTCTGTCTTTCTCTCTGTTTGTCTGCTGTTGCTGTTGTTGCTGCTGCTGCCGCTGATGTTGTTGCATGTTGCCACGGACAAAACCCCAACAACGACGCCCACATCGATGTTCCAACACCTCTGCACTGGCAAAGCCCCCCAGCCCATCATTGAATTAAACTTGTATGAGAATTGTTGTTTCCGTAGCTGTTGCTCTTTCGGCCTTTTCACATTTCATTGCCATCGCCGGCATTTGGCTCTTGCCAATCAGTAATTCCACTCTTGTGCCGTTCCTGTGTGTTTCAGCAGCTCCTTTTGTGTACCGATTTGAGCTATTTCCGCCGCTGACAGCAGCAGGAACCCCTCAACAACACACACAAAATAGCCCTGCACTTCCACTTTGCCGTCGAAAACAGTGCGTTGATATCTTAAATGACACCAGCCGCCAAATAAAGATTGACGTCAAATTCATTATCGCCAGCAACAAGGGACTTTTAGATCGAGGGGGAAGGGGAGTTACGGGGGCTTTTGTTCAGATGTGTCAAGTGCAGGCGTACATACGAGTAGATCCAGATAGCCACAGAATGCCATAATGCCATAAAATTCAGCTATACGAGTGTGTGGACTCTTGAAAGCAAACATTTTGTACATACACAATAATTGTTATCGATTTTTAATTGAAGTCGCACACGGAGATGGTAAATGTGCAATTAAAAAGGCAAATAACAATATTTGAATATGCATTGGATGCCTGAATAGTTTATCCCAAGACGTTTTGTTATTTAAATTGGTTTTTGCCAGCTATCGTTTGATTTAGATGACTTTTTATGGCAATTTAAAGAGTGACTATGACTTGGCATTTAAAAATTTAAGAAGAGGTTGATGGAGCCATGAGGGTACACTATTAAAAACCGATTAATCGGATAGTTCTCAGCGAGAGGCAGCCATTAAATTGCTCAATTTGCTGCATTCCAATGTGCTTTTAGTGAAAAAGTGCCAGCCCAATATGGGCATACCTCATGCATACGAAAAGCTTATACCTTCCCCACCAATTTCCCCTTGATTTTCGACTGGCATTGCAACACGAACAATCGCTCCATATACGAACCGACTTGGGGACGGGACACCGGGGCTCTGTTGCTATTTTTAATTCAATTAAATGTCATTTGCGCCACTCAACTTTAAATTTTAACTGCAGCATAATTTGGCCAGGCGACGCGTCGCCCAAAACCGGCAACAAAAGGGAAGCTCCAATGCGATGCGATGCGTTGCATTTTGCGTTGCGAATGTTGCCAGGTTGCCATGAAGCTGCCATGAGGCTGCCATGAGAATGCCATGTTGCGATGTTGCATGTGCGGCACGCGTGGGCAGGATGTGCAGGATGCGGCAGAGACAACGTTGCACGACGCCAACGCGAGAGCTGCCAAAAGGACAGGATAAAAGGAGGGCTCCAAAAGGTTGCAAATGGGGAAGGGGGAAATGAGGAAGGGGAAATGGGATTGGGGAATGGGGCAACGACAAGCAGGCAGAAAAAGAGACACAGACTTGCCAGCGGAGAGGCAGTTAATCTGGCGATAATGACGGCACATAAACAGCAACGATGATGATGGGCAACTGAGGCCAAACAAAAAAAAAAAAAAAAAAACCTTATAACTGGGTTGCTGTCACCCCTTTTTTTCGCTTATTTTTCTTTTTTTTTTGACTGTGTGGGAAGTGGTTGTTGCTGCTTCACCTTCAAAATGCCAAATTGCACGTAATGTGCGACACTTTTAGGCGACAAGCGAAGCATGCACTTTTCGCCTAATTTCCCAGGCGCTTTCACTTCAGCACAAATTAAAGTGTAATCAATTTGGCCCGAGAGGAAGTGGCAATGGCCTGTCGTCGTTCGTCGAGTGACATAATTCCAGCAGATATTAAACACTTTGTCATTTATGTGTCAAAATCATGTCAGCGTGAAAAGGCGAGAGACAAGGAGAGAACCAAGCCAACGAAATTGTCAAGTGTAATAGAAATCAAGTGAGTGAACAGACCGAGCAACTGACAAACTGCCACATGGACGGACTGACACGCATCTAAGGGAAAAGCGAAGGAAAAGTTAGGCAAGGGGAGGAAGGGAAAGGGGAGGTGGAAAACCCGGGGAAGCTGCAAAGAAACGCAGGAGCGAGTCCTTTTAAGTGGCGCACTCGCGGCCTAATGCTCTCCGACATATTTGGGGCGTGGCTTACAGAACGCTGCACTGCACTATATAGAACTACACTTGACTACACACCATGCAACACACTGTGCAACATGGCACCTGTCACGATGCTGGCGCAGTGGCAACTTGATGTCGCTGACAACAAAGCGGGCCAATCCCGCCTGCCTGCCACCCACTAACAAAAAAAAAAAAATCCACCCACGGCAAGTGGAAAGTAACGCCAACTGAGCTCGCTCCATTTTCCATGTGGCACAGTTTCCGCGCCACAAGCTCCTCTATCTCATCCACCCCCCTCCCTTCCTCCTTCGAAAAACTCCACGCCAGCCAAGGCATTGACCAACTTACCTTAATTGAATCCAAGTTCTTATCGCTCGCTAGCCAAAGTTTCTAAACAATATCTTATCATGCGAGCGAGTGCAAACTTTGGCTCGCTATCGCTGGGTTTTTAGGTAAACACAGTCAGCTGGCCTAATATCAATTAATTAAAAGCGAAAGTGCTTGACAACGACAGCAGTAAGCTGGTCAAACTAAGTTTAGTTGTACTGTATAAAATAAAAGGAAAAACGAGTAGTATCAAAGCAACCACAACTTTAATTTCAAGGATAACAATTATGTGTTTAAAAGCCTTACAAGGACGCAAGCCTTTTAGGCCTCAATAAAACGTTTCTGAATGTAGAAGCCCCATTTTTAACCCAGCTTTCTGGCGACCAACTTCAATTAATTAAAAGCGAAAGTGCCGGGCAACGTTGGCGAGCTAAATAAACTGGCCCAAAGAAATGCATACTTTCGGCGACTGGCATTAAATATTGAAAGGCCAGAAGGCTCTCAAACATTCATGGGAATTTCTTATTTCAGGGCGCCGCCGGCAGAGCTTAGCTCATTTGAAATGCAACCAAAAATTGACGCAGCCCAGCCGCATTAAGTAATGGGTGGTGCTCCGTGTTTTTGGTGCCCAAAGGAAGTCACGCATCCGCAACGCCAGAGAATATTCATTTAATCAAGTGGCCTAAGACTCCTGGTCTTCCCTTCGGCTTTTCCCTCACTTTTCCTTTCCTTTCCTCTGCTTTTCCTTTCCTTTTCCCGGTCACGTCAAGTGGGGACTTTTATGAAGCAGCCGCAGCAGCAGTTGAGATCATCTTGTGTGACATTGGGGGGCGGAGGTCATAAAAGCGGGCTGAGCGCCTTTTAATCGCCACTGTGTTAACGTGCAACGTTGCGTATGCGCAATTTTCTGCCATTTTATTGCTGATGAACATCGCAAAATTACAGCAACACTCTGGCCCACACACGTATTCAATGTCAATCATCATTTGCAGCAATTTATTATTATAATAATAAATGTTTCGGGGGCTCTTCCCTTGGGTAAAAAAGGCAAACCCCAGCCCACATTCAAATTTGCTTGCTTTTTTTTCGTTCCCATCTTGGCTTGACAACGAAAATTGTGTTTTCTTTCAAGTAGTTAACATGGAAAACGTTGAACAAATCGCATTAATTGCTGTTGTTGCAGTGGGACAAGCTGGAGGGGGAGGGGAAATGGGAAATGGGGGGTTCTATATGGGGGCTTAATGCGGGACAACTTTTGCCAGAGCAGCCCGCATAAGCATGTGTGTGTGTGTGTGTGTGTGTGTGTGTGTGATGGTGTGCTTTTTAAGTACCGCTATGACAGGCAGTAAAAACAACTTAACTTGGCTTGCCAAGCCAAGCCAAAGCAAACCGAAAACCCAAGGCATTGTTGAGCTGTTAATGAAAAGTCAACTTGATTTTATGCCAGACCAGCCAACCGTCCAAAAGCCTCGGCTTCCTGCCTCCTTTTTGCTCCTTCGTTGCTGCTTTTGGTCCTTCTGCCACGGCGTGTCGCATGCAAAGCCAATGTGCAACAAGACGGCAAGAAAAGCATGAGCCTCTCAGCCATGGAGCAACTGAAAAAACTTTCACTTTATCATTAAGCCTGACGGGTGAACTTTTTTGAGTGGCTGCTCGCTCCTCCGTGTGTGGCCAGTTTTCCAGCCTTACAGTTTCCCAGCTTTCCCAGGCACTAGGACTACTCCCTTATATTGAAACATAAATAGAATTATAAATACTCCACAGGCATCGTCCTCTCAGTGTGAGTGTGTGTAAAAGTGTGTTTATGTGTGTGTGAAAAATCAGTTAAAGTTATTGCATGTCGTCGCAACTCGACATAGACAAATGTTGCTCTTGTCACAAGTGGAAGAGGCAGCAGCAACAGCAGCAGCAGCAACAACACCAGGAACTCCTGGCCCACCCACGTCAACTGGCTGTCTTCATGTGCCTGTTGCCAACTTGACGAAAATTGAATTTCGAAACATGCTGGCTAAAAGAAAATGTACAAAAAAAACCAAGCAAAGGACTACAAAAAAAAAAACGGCATCGAGTACGAGAAACAAAACAAAATAAAACTCTCTCGCAAATAGAGAAACATTTCAGCGGCAAAAACGGCATGAACAACAACAACAAGAATAACAACAACTACAACAAAAACCATGAAAATGACAGCGTAAAGCCGGCAAATGCAACAACAGCAGCGGCAAAAACAAATGCCAACAAAATGGCGGCTGTTAAAATGCGAAAAACGCGTTGAAAACTGTTTGAACAACAAGGAGTTGCTGCGGCAAAGGAATCGAGCGAACGCACAACATCAGGACAACAACAACAACAACAACAACAACAACAACTGTATTTAGTGCCGCCATCATCACTAGAGGTATGTGTGTGTGTGTGTGTATGTGCTTCGCTAAGTGCCTTTGCTCTTCGTCCTTTGGATCCTTGGCCTCCCCTTTCCCCCCATTACTTATTTCCCCCCACACCGCCCTTTATTGTCCTTGTTTGCCAGTTATGTTTTTTAGCTTTACGTAAATTGCGTAAATTGTGTGCATTTTATTACGCTACACTTCATGCTGTCACGCCCCCATTTCCAACCATTCCCCCATCCGCCCATTTTTCATACATCACCTCTTTCTTCTTTTCATTTTTTTTTTTTGGTTGGCAAACATTTTGCCAAGTTTTTTTGGTTGCTCTGCTGTCAGCAGGAGGAAAATGTCTTCGTCAGTTTTATTAGGTGAGAACTGTGCGTTTTACGTGTAAGTTGTTGATGCGAACGGCAAACTGATGTGCGGATGTATCATGTTTTGGCCAAAATATGTTGACTGTATTTTGATGGGATCGAAACTAAGCCCTCGGGCCTGACCCATTTCAAAGGAAATTAATGTAAATTTATTGTCCGACCGTCTATCAGTCAGGCGAACAAGCAATTCGGCCCTTTGCCGTCACTCACGTCGTACCTTTAATAACACATTTTTTTTTTGGGCTAATTGATACGCCTGACGGCATCGCGTGACCAAAACTGAACGCTAAACGACAAAGATAAACACACAAGAAGAAATACTCGTAAAAGCGACAGAAAATGAGAATGAAAAAAAAGAAAACAACCGGCACGAAAAACGAAAACCAAAATCAAATCGCAGGGCGCCAACGAAACTTCCACGCGACGCCGTTCAAGTTCATTGCCATTTAGGCCAAAATTGGCGCACGCGGAACTTGTCTTCAGTCGAAATACAAAAAAAACAAGCACGAAGGAAGCCAAAATACGAACCGAAAACCCAGCGAACGGAAAACGAAAACCAAAACAATTCGAATACAATGTAAAGAAAAACACACAAGGCACACGGCTATTTTTGGTAACGCACGTAGAGCACCGACGGCCGCAGAAATTGTTGGTGAAAATTGAGGCATTAAATTGCACTCGATCGGCGGACGACGGATGGATTGTGCACACTTGGATCGAGAAGACCAGTTTCCCGGCACGTTTCCCCGGTTCCCACAGCCAAACCCCCCAAACCTTCCCGCCACTTTCCACTTGATAAATGCGAGGAGGCATTTAACGCATTTTGTTGCAATTAATTTTTTGGCTTAGGGAGTGTGCAAATTTTTGGTTGCCTGCCAACCGCGAAATGTTGATCGCCGACGGAAAATCGAAAAATCGGAAAAATCTTTTTCATAAAAGCGAAAATCTCGCATTCCATTATCAAGTGGTTGCAAATGAGATTTTTGCCTGCCAGCATGGCGAACTCATTGCTCTCGTAAAACACGGAAAATGCACTCAAAATGCAGTTGAAATTGCATTTAACACATTTTCCCGCCACCCATTTTCCGTGGCCTGCGGGGTATGAGGGATGTTACTTTTGATTTATTTGCATGACAAACGGGTTAATTACAGCATGTTGCGGCAGCAACCAGCCCCAGTGGGCCAGCCAGGCTAACAAAAACAGGATTTTTTTGCTTGCATAGAGGCAAGCACAATTGTTGCATGCTGCCCGCTGCTCAATATACACGATGATGCAACAAACAAAAAGCTGGGACATTGTGGGCGTTTGGAATTGGCGCCAGTGCTCCCTGGGAAACATATATTTATGTAAAAATATTTCGGCAATCGACAAGCTTGTTGTCCCTGCATCGTAAACGAAGTTTTGGAGACCGATGAAAATAAAAAGAAATAAACCCACTTGGCACCAGGAGGTGCAACGTCATTTATTACACCCAACTCACACACACACTGGCAAGCGAGGGTTTCTTTGTTATTTGATTGAGCTTGAGGCTGGCATTGAGTGTCCATAATGGAATTTTTATTTATTAAATGCGAGTCTCTGTCCATCGGCAGTGCCGTTGTGTAATTTATCACAGCCTGGCCAGCCAGAAAGGAATTTTCTGCGGGATTTAATGCCATGACAATGGGTGAGAAGCGGCGGAAAACGCGGCGGCAACTGGGGTTTTGTGTGGAGTGCGGACTGTGGAGTGTGGCAATGCATAACGCATTAACAAACGGCTTTCAGCTGCATATTGGCTTTTGTGATTAACGCTCACACATGCAGCGCGGCGAGCGCACAAAAACATTGATACCCTTGTTGCTGAAACGGGCTATCGATAGCTGCGATTTAACCCATGTTCCAGCGAAGTGAACTATCAGGGGGAAAATATGGCAAGGTACTTTAAGTTAATGAAAGGCTTGCAAAAAATGATTAAAAGGTAATACTTTTGAACCCATCAAATTACGCGTATTTACTATGAACATATACAAGGCTCAAAATCATTTTAAGCTTTCGGAAAAATATTATTGATATAACAACAACGTCTAAACCATTTTTTAATCAATTATGAATGGGTTGTTTTTTTAAGAACAGCTAAAAATAAGTTTCAGTATAAAAAAACCCATTCTGATTTATGCAAACCCATCTACGCTTTTAAAGCCAGACCAATGGGTTAACTGTGAGCTCTTTTTTCAATATTATAACGACTGTTAAATGCCACAAATTGTTTAATGCGTCGGCCTGCACTCAGCCCTCTTAACCCACCACCAGCAGCACCACCAGAACCACCTCCACCACCGCCTCGTTGGAACCTCAGTGGAACTCACGGTGGCTCTCCAGTGTGCAGCCACCGAGCGATTTATGCAAATGCAACCAATGCACTTAGCGCCGTTAAATAAACAAAGGCATTATCAGCAACAGCTCCAGCAGGCAGCAGTCATCAGGCAGCAGAGACAGAATGCAAAATGCAAAATGCAGAATGCAGAAATGCAAGACAATGCATTAAATTCCCTTTGCGAAATGCTGATGTGCGGAGTGCAAAGCCGCAGCAGCAGTAACACACATCAAAAATTCACTATGGAACTTATCTAAATGCACTAAATTACACATTTAGTAAGTATCTTAAATCAAGACCTGCACACACACACTTAAGCAATCTAAGCGCATAAACAACAAGAACAAACGATGAGGTTCGTATGCAAATTTTGCAGCAAGCTGGCTGGCAAATTGAGTTGGCATGGTCAGGGCTCTCAAGATTTTGCCCTAGCTGCTTAATTTGCGTGCGAGCTTTACATTTTTTTTTGTTTCTGCCTTTGCTCCCAGTAGTGCTCAGTATTTCTGCTGCCCTCCATCGATTATGTAAATGCGAAAATTTCCATTAAATGCATTGAATTCCATTACGAACGCATCATCATCATCGTCGTCGTCGTCGTCGTCGTTGTAGTGAGCGTTGTAAACCAGCCATCAGGCAGTCAGACAGACAGAGTGATTCGGTGGAGATCTCAGCTGTGGATGCCCATTGTCTTGCGGTCTTGGCGAATTTATAGCTCGACAACTACTACTGCCGCTCGGCACAATGAAGTCATTTGCTGTGGAATGCTCGCCGCTCGACGAGGCAAGTGAAAATGCCTGGCCCGAATATCGTAAATCGTTTACTGGTCGCCAGCCAGTTGCTTGTTGGCTGTTGCCTGTTAGCTGTTAGCTGTTGTCTGTTGTCTCTCGGAGGTATTTTCATTAGCCAAACACAAATTGAGGCAACACGACACGACACACAAACCGAAAGAAAAACACTTAACATCAACACGAAAAAGACTAAGCAAGCAACAAGGTTAAAATGGGGAGGGAAGTTGGGGGGGGAGGGGACTGTTTAGGCCAAGTCGAGCTCAACATGGCTCTGATCGGCTCAGGTGAGTGACTACAGCGGACTGAGCCACTCGCAGAGCGAGAAAAACCAACAGAAACTACTGTTTAAACATCTCTGCAAGCCGCGCTTGTTGCCACGGATTTTACCTGGTTTTCTGTCTGGTTTTTACCCCTTTTTTCCAATGTTGGCCAATGACCAAACAGAAGCTTACCGATGCTTATTGCAGCTGGCGGGGCTTATAATTTGCGTACTGAGCTTGGAGCCATCATTTTCGTAGTTTCTGTGGGGTGGATGTGTGAAAATTTCTGTGTTGGCCTGCGGCATTTTAGAAACTGCAGCTGGCGTAAATGTGCATTCAAATGGATCTTTTGTTTGCGGCTTTCACTGCTGACGCCGCCGCTTCACTTTTGTATTTGGCTACGCATTTCACACTCTAAGTGGTGAAAATCTCTCTTTGACGCACATTTCAAAACTGAAAACTGTAAAACTGGCAACTGTAACCGAAAACCGAACTGAAATCGTTGAAAACCCGGGAAAATGTCGAGGGAAAATCAAGAGTGCGATGGCGTTTTGGAGAGGCCCAGCAAAACCCTGGTTCTGATAATCTTCACCCTCGCCGTTTTCCTCAAGTTGTGCATCATTATTGTGGAGATAATGGTCTGATGGAATTACCTGAAACGAGACAAGAAAAAAGGGACGTAATTAGTTGGCGTTTTCTTTGCGTTTTCTTTTTATTTTAAGATAAGTGTAAACAAAGAGCCGAGAAAAGCGATTGATTGGGATCAAATGGTGGAGTGACTGCAGTTTTAGTTTTGATCTTTCCCTTCACAGGAGTCGCATTTCATCGGGGGTGAGTTGTGTGTTTCTCTTACTTCTCCTTGCTCCTTCTTAGGTTTTTTCGGGGAGTATTCGATTACAAAAAGGTTTTCATTATTAGCCTTGGTCCTCATCAGCATTTGACTTTTCCCCATTTGCCGCGCAAACAAGCGTAGGCGACCGGAAAAACCGCAAGGGTAAAAACATAATTTCATTTGGCCTGCTGTGCAGAACAGTGAAAATAATTTGACAACTTACTTAAAAATATGTCACATGAAGAAGGTCAGAAATTGGCGGTTGGGCAGCCGTAAAAAAGGGTTGCAACCCCAGGAGCCCCCAGGAAACCAAAAAAAAAAAAAAACACAAACGAACCTCCAGCGAGAAGCGTCGCTTGTCTGGAAAATCAAAATGAAAATCCAGAAAGGGGAGCAACTTTTATTAAAAGCTGTCAGCGCGACAAAACCCCAAACATATTGCCCGAGTTGGGTTTCATTTTTCTTCCCCGGGCATAAAGTTAAAACGTCATCGTGGCTTCATTACGAATTCTTCGAATGCTTCTCACCACCTTTTGGCCAAAAAAAATACGGCAAAAAGTAAAGCAGCCGAAAAGTTTGTAGTCCTTTGATCAAGTTCCATGCGAGGAGTCGTCGTATCACATTTTCACCTGTCTGGCCGAAAAGCAACTGCTCTTTGATGTTGACGGCTGCCAGCGGAAAAGGACGAAAAGTGGGTGCTAAGGATAAGCCACGAAATAGCGCATCAGACATGCATAAAGCCAGAGCCCAAATTAACTCAATTGAGAAACTTTGCTAACAACTCGCAGAAAGGGTTGGCTAACTCGGTTAAGGCCAAGAAAATGAAGGCAAGAATCGGTCTCGCCTTGATATGGATATTGCCACACACAATCCCTAATTAGAATCGATTTGGCTCGAGGGAGACCCTTTTTCCATTTCCCATTTCCATTTGCTAACCCCGCGACCCATCAAAAAACAATTAACAATTTGAGGCACTCAATAAAATATTTAAATGCTAAAGTAAAGCGAATCTGGCGGAGGGTGAACCCCTTTCTTTTTCTCTTTCCCCAAGTGGAGGGAAAAGTGGGAGTGGTTGGGGGGGAACCCAAAGCGAAGGCAAACAATGATAAATTACAAATGAAATTGTAAAAAGGCGCAACAGCCAAAAGAAATGAAGAACAAAGAAAGCGAGGATAACAGAACACGCCGAGCAATTAACGTCGACAGAAAGTGCCACGCCTCCATTTCGGCTGACATTTTCAGAGGGGAAGGGGGAGGGGCGCATTCCATTTGGCCATGTCGACTCAATGATTACTTTCGCCTTTGATTAATTTGAGCTCATCGATATTCGCGAGATGTGCAACCCTTTTTGCCATTGCCCGCCGGCCTAATTGCTTGCCTAATTTAATTGCCACGAGTGTAATTTGTGCCGGCCAACTGACAACTGTGACAATCGGACGACAGGCCATGAAAGTCGAATCCAGGACTTTTGCGACTTTTGCTCTCTCTCTCTCGCTGGCCAAATACTTTTTCCATTCGCCATTCCGGCTGCAACTCTCTAATCAGTGCATTTGATTAATGGTAACTTAGCTCCACTCCACTCCACCCGGTTTTACCTTTTTTCCTAGTTGGGGTGTTGGGATGTTGGGTGTTGCTGGGTGGGGAGGTGTGTCCAAACACCTCGGGCAAAACCACAAAGTCATTTCCGCACTTTTCGGCCAGCATCATTAATTACAAAAACCAATAAAAGTGTTGGCCAAGCATTTAGGCCAAAATAAGTTGTCATCATTAGTAACAGTTACAAGTTGGCCAGACGACCACTAGGAATATAAAGCAGGCAAGGAAAAAAAATGGAAAATGTGGCTATTTCGAAGTAGAGATACTCTCAACAAGAATTGTATGCAAATTCTGATGAAAAACGTAACAACAAATTAACATTTTTAATTCAGGTTATAAATCATCTATATCAATTTGTTTTTGTATGACAACCGCTTTTGTTTTTTTTTTCCAACGTGAAACCTTCTACCTCCTTTCAATACAAATACCCCAAAATAACCCAGATGAATTACGAGAAACTGACAAAGACAAGGAGCCTTGGCAACAGCATTTTGCCGGTTACTTGCAAACAAATTGCCAACAATTGATGAATGTCTGGTAATGAGACGCGCTAACATGGGCCCGAAAAAAAATGCGCAGAAAAACTTAAGCTAAACGCAACTAAAACTCTGTCAAAAGTAAGGAGTACAGAAGGGAAAAGCGGCGGGAAACTTCGCAGATCTAGGCGCCAGGCTAAGGAAAATGGCCTTTTGTATTGGGCCTATAAATAAATAGGCTTTCCAATACACACACACAATCGAGTGTTCGGTACACTGAAGCCATTCGGAAAGCAATCTGTGTAAAAGTAACGTAGTCATTAATCATTATCATATAAACATCAATTGGTGTTTAGAGTGTTCGATAGTCGGGGGGGTAAAAAAGGAGAGGAGAGGTTTCTTTTTCGTTATTTTGGGGGCTGCATGTCTTGGCCAATGTTATTGATTGGCCATTCAGTTGGCATCGAAGTCGTTGGCCGTCTCAAGGAGTGCAGACAGCCGATTCAGCCAAAATAAAAAAGAGAACGTAAGAAATCGGAAAAGAAATCGAAATGAAATTTACCGTAAATAAAAACATACCAAAGTGGAGGGAGTCTCGAATGTAAGTAGAATGAAAAATTTAATTTATAACTGTGTATATATATTGGCCGTTTCTTCCGCAGCAACTTCCACTTCCCTCAATTGGCCTCAAAAAAAAAAAAAAAAAAATAGAGAAGAGCAGAGAGGAGAAGGAAAAGAAATGTTTTGGGCAGCAGGGAGCTGCTTCAAAGGTTTCCTGTTTGGTCCGATTCAATGCATTAAGGCGAAATCATCTTAGCTGAAATCAAATAAAAGCGACAGACGCACACACAAAATGGGAAGAAGAAGAGGTAGGGGGAGGGGAAGGGGGATAAACTATGCTGGCCGAGAGATATAAATCAACAGAAATAAGACAAATTTTGGGAAGCAAGTTGCGAAGTCTCCTCAGCTGGCACCTAATCAAAGGAACCGACCGACCGACCGACGGATGGAGAGACACAGAATTACATGTAATCAATTTGTCATAATAACCATCAGGGTGTAGTATCTCTATGTCGGGATGTGTCTTTTGCTGAGTCATTTAGTGACAGTTAACCTTGAGCCTTTCGAGACGCGAAGGAAGCCCCTCAAATGGGGCGCAAATCTTTAAGAACGCCTCCTTGAACTGGCCACATTTATCATCTCCCACACGCGAGAGCCTCACTCTCATTAATATTTCATATTTATATTTCAAGTTCCTGTTTTCCCCATTCAGTACTCGATAAAGACAGTCAAGAAGTGAACTTATCTGAGCTTGAAAAATTCCCGTTTCTGCTTTCATCTCCTTTTGAAATGTGTTTAAATATATAAAAAGTCAAGAATATATCAGGAGAGTTTTTTTTTTGTAGCCAGCCTCTTTTTTATCAGCTAGCAGAGCGCAACAACAAAATTCCTTTCGCCTGCAGAGCCATCAATCATTATCATTCGAAGCCTATACTCCCTCACTACAGCCTCCCCGACTTCCGAGTTCCATCCTGTTTGGGCTCTATCTTCCTCTGACTCAGAGACCTTCCACATTATTTGTACACACTTACATACATTTAATTTCTTTTCAATTTCGATATCCCCCTCCCTCGCCCTTTTGGCCACTTGATAAATTGCTTTCGCTGGGATCAATCCATCGACTAGGCGATATTTTATTTGGCTTATTAATTTTTCTATATTTATATTCGGGTCTGGTGACCGCAGATTTCAATTACAGAATGTCACGGGCAACGAGGGTAGAGTGGAATTTGGTTTCTGTAGGAATTCTACTTTAAACTGGGCGACTGGTGCTTTCTCCTTCCCCCTGCGAAGCACTTTCAATTTGTTTAATGCAATTGGGGGAACTTTCCATCTGAAAAGCGCGTCAATTGATGCACTTAGGCGCTAAGATCTCCTTACACAAAAGGCGGACACAGTGGGGTGTGTAAATTGATTTCGTTTTTGGGCTCGCCGGCCAGACAGACAGTGTGAAATGTATTACCCAAACGGCGGCGACACGCTGGGGGGATGGCAAAGACCCCAGAGTTTGGATCAAGGGGTGCCACTGTTTTTATTTTCTTTTTTTTTTCGACTGGGCCTTCAAAGTGCATTCGATTCCCATGCTCAGTCCCAATGCCCAAACCCACATAACCCACTCCCTGAGAACGCATTCTTTCGTGATGTTATATGAGCTGAAAACTGTTTGAATGGATGATTAACATATATGGATGGGCTTGGGGATTTATATTTTCTTTTTCCGAGGGCGAAGCGAGACAAAACGAATGCGCTGTTATTGTTGCTTGTTTGTTTCCTCCTCGCTGGCAAAAGGCCTTCGAATTGATATGGAGCATATGACACACACAAAGGGTTCGCCTGATTCGTTTTAAGAGGGGCCTGATTCACGCCTTATCGGCCCCGCAGGAAGTGTTGCCAACACAGTCCTCAGTCTCAGTCCTCCAAACCGAAATCTCGAGTCCGAGTTCAAGTCCGTTTCTGAATGCGAATCTGAATGTGAACCCGAAACCCTTAACCCATGGCCGCCGGCCAGCATGGAATTTTAGCACCCAATGCCAATGCTTCGACACGCCCCTATCATTGTGCAAACATCAACATCAACACCAAACTCGCAGCTATAACAAAAGGCGTTGCGACCCGGCAATTGTAGACATAAAGGAAAACTCTTGGAAAATATTGAGAAATAAGGGAAAACAATTTACCGCCATATGCGAGCAGGCGGGTCACACGACTCCTGATCCCTTTTATGGCCAATGTGTCAGCCACCGAAAATTGCTTTTGTATACACACATAGTACATAGCACAACAGCCAC